CCTCCTCTGCTAATACATGCATGACATAGTGTGTATTAATTCCTATTAGGTTGCAATGTGAATTATATTTGTTTTCGTTACAATTAAAATGGTTTAAAATAAACTCATCTCTGCCCTCAAAATTAAGCTTTTTGCCATTTCATAATAATTAATACCATAAAAGCTATTTTTTAACAAAATCTTACAACAGGTTAAAAAAAATTTCAATATTTATTTATGACATTATTTGTTTTTTAATTTCTTTTTTCTCTAATACAATTAAATATTTATAATGCTATTTAACTGTAACGAAAGCAAATACAAAGCACACAAAAGTAATTTAAAAGGTAAAATAGAACCGCACTGTAACGGAATCGGATGCGCTACCATTATTATCGTCCGGAATAGGAATCATTTTCATCTCAAACAAGTGTAAGTACGAAAATAATTATGGAAATATTTAATCAATATATAACTGTTAAAAGATATGCAGATTATGACGAACTTTTATACCAAAATGTTCTGTAAGAAGCTTACATGAAATCTTCGAAGAGAGAGAGAAATAATGGCGTAATTTCTGATTTGCTGTAGTGAAATGTTTGAATTGTATGTATGGTAAAATATAAATCACGTGATATAATTTAAAACTCTGATTCTGAATGGTCATGTTTGATATTTTTAGATATTTATTCTTTATCAATTGATATATAATAGCAGAAGATAGATACAATTGAAGCTTGCTCTAAATATATTTGAAAAACGTGTTTGTTTTGTATCTGATGTAAAAATTGGTTTATTACAAAATGAATAAATAATGTCATTTACCATCTTCATCCACTAAAGTGACCATCTGTCTAAGTTCTGCTTCCGTGGGTCGATGACCCAACGATCTCATAATGACCCCCAATTCTGCAGCTTCAATACACCCATCGCCGTTCTGATCGAAAAGTTGAAAAGCTTCTTTGAATTCTAAGAAAATAAACATATGATTATTATCGTGGCTTAATAATTCTAATCTAAAATAGAAATCAAAGTTGTTTATTAATCTCACTGTCTCGGATTGATGCGTTCGACACATAAATTTCTAAATAAAAGTTTATTAAACTAACAATAAATCATAAATATATTGAAGGATAAATAGAAAATAATATTTTAAATTCTGTTTAACTTGACACATGTGGTTTAGTTTGATGGGATATGATAACGCAATACATGGGGAAAATCCATCACTTTTTATGGGAAACTGTTCCTATTTAGGTGTTACAAACATGAAGAAAATCCGAAAAACTCCATGTTGGTAAGGCGCGCCCACTGGTCGATTGCCACGTATTGCTAAACAATTTGCTATAACAATGTTTCTTTGCCAGCTTGTTACATATATAACACGGGAAAATATTGGAATCGTATCAAATTTGGCGCTCCGAGATTTTTGAAAATTTCGCCATTTTGAGGCCTTTTGAACCCAGAAAAAGTAAAAGACGAAAACAAAAAGAAAAAATTTCCATGGATTTGGTTGTATATGGTACTGTTCATTTCGTTTAATATTTCAGGATGGGATAATGATTAAGAAATGAAATTTGCCATGGTTAGCTTGTGTATAAAAACTACTGTATTGATGGTATTAAATTTTTGTGTTTTTTAAAATAAAACTTAGCTCTACCCTCAAAATTAAGCTTTTTGCCATTTCATAATAATACCATAAAAGCTATTTTTTAACAAAATCTTATAACAGGTTTAAAAAAAGAATTTTCAATATTTATTTATAACATTATTTGTTTTTTAATTTCATTTTTCTCTAATAATGAGTGATTTTTGAATATGTAATAAGAATCACCTTTTTCGTCGCTTTTATCACCTTTATGTAGGGCCTCCTCTGCTAATACATGCACGACATAGCGTGTATTAATTCCTGTTAGGAGTGGTTATTAATTCCACCCCACCACACAATTTTAATTTTGTGTTAATATGTCTTACTTGTTAGTGTTTTTCATCGGCAAAGTTATGCAACTCTTTGCTGGATTTTTTAAATATGAATTCAGAAGAAATTGTACTTTTTTTCATTTTTAACTCTTTGCCTTGTGAGCATTAAGAACGCCCTTTTAATCATACTCATCATGGATTAGGCCAGGTCCAAAATGAGACGACCGGGTGGTGAGAGATGAGGGCCGATATATTCAAGGCAAACCGCTCATGAAAAATTCTTGGGAATTTTGCCTGTTTGCCCAGATTCGATATTGGATCCTCAAACTGTAGGCTGACGCCATTTAAAATTTGATATACGAAAATTCAAAGTTATTTTTTGTAAATTTCTCTGTTTTTTAATTTAATTGTAAATTTTAAAAATAATCTTTCAACACAAAAAAAACTATAAATTAGAGTCGATATATTTAAATCATTTATAAATTTTTCATGATTTAAAAGCATTCAAACATTGATTTAGAAATGTAAAAATATGACATTTGAAGGTTATGTAAGGGAAAGAAGAAAAACTGTATAATAAATCGAGATTTTTATGATTTATAAGATCAAGTGTATTCTTTCTAAGTTTTGTAATATTTACTTTTTGTAAGTGGAATACTAACATTTCTGTTTTTGTCCTTGGATAATTTTACAGGTTAAAAGCTGAATCAGTTATACTTATATGATCTTTTACAAAACACAAAATAGAAAAAGAATTCTATTTTAACTTCCAAGGAGCGATTAAAAAGAAATTTAGGATGCCATTACATCCACTTTTTCAAGAATAAATGACGTTTTCTGATGTTTGTAATTATTTATGATATTGTCTCAATTAGATTCTCCACTGGTCGAGTGGCTAAAACCATTGAACATTGATCGTGGGTTCGTGTCTCACCAATGGGCTGGTCATGTGAAGTTTTCCGGGTTCTTTCACGTTTGTAATAACTAAATAGGAAACATTTTCTCGTAGAAAGGCTTCCCGGAAGTTATTTCCCTCGGCAGATCGCCCGCGTGTCGCGTTGTCGTATACAAAAAAAAAAAAAAAAAAAAAAAAAAAATCGTTTTTCTTCCATTTTGGCTCATTCCGTCCTATTGACACTAAGGGTTTTTTTCCCAGGCCTCTAACGGGTTTAGCCAGACCAGCAATTAGAACAGCCGGTTTTGTGAGAGACGGGGCGGAAGTTACCATCCCTGATTTGGTTCCGGATCTCCCAGAACGCTAGACTGATGCCTTAATCATCTCGGCCATCCACCATACGCTGAATTAGATTTATAAATACACATTCTGGACAATCAGTATTATTGTTGTTGAATTTTAAGGAAAAATTTAAAATTCTGACTATTTTTATCATAATTCTTGATAATTATTATGGATAAATCTACGTACCTGCAACTTGTTCGTCCGTTAATCCGTATTCTGTCTGTAAAAAGAAAGATTGAAGCATTTAAATTACGTATTTAAATATTTGTTATTTATTTCAATGTATTATTAAAATTTAATAATTTAAAACAATTAATATTTAAGAAGAATAAGCATAAATTAATACGCAGTACTTAAAAGAATCCAATAATAAAATTTACTACATAAATTTGACAATGGATATTTGTTATATAAAAATAAAATATAATATAGATTTATAAATAATAGTGGGTATAATTTTATTCAAAATAAGAAACTTTAAAATTTTTGAATTGTTCAAAAAAAGTTTCTCATAATTATCTATTAAATTTGCAATAGTCATAGAAAACAAGGGTTCTTATTTTTTTTATTTTTTGCGCTTTCCGTCTCGTCCTATGGGAACTAAATTGGCCTATGGGAACTAAAAAACACATCCGGGACAGACCAGTCGAAAAAAATTTCTGATGTTACTCATCCCGATTCGATCCCGAGTTTCCAGAGAGATAGAGTTTTAAGCCTCGTGGAGTTTTCCAGGTTTCCTTCGTGCGTGTAACACGTAAATAAGTACTAGTTTCCTATGGAAAGTCCTCCCATCCCCAACGGCAAATCACCCATATGTTGCATTGCCTTATTCCATCCATCTATCCACCAAAATAGACAAACTATATGCAAGTTGAATTTAAAATGTGAATATCTGAATTTGGAAAGTAGGTTTTTAATACTGTTTAGAAAGTAAAGAACCAAACTGTTTTTTTATAATCTCATTAAAAATTAAAATAAAGATTAAATTGCTTCATATTAGGCTATAATATTTCTGTGTAGATTATGTATAAGTTTTAAATATAGTAATGTTTATATTATGTTTAAAAACCATTGCTTTAATAACCAATGACTTTTAAACATACTTTGCAAATGATATTAAAAGCTCATTTTTCATTTTGGCGCATGTTTCCTTCTGTCAAATCAGTGTTGAAATGAAGTCTGTCATGTTTTCGTGATCCAAGTTTAAATGACGATATAGAAGTCACTGTTAAATGTTTTGCCAAGAAGGAAAAAAGAGCGCTTTAATACTTTTAGCAATGACGGAGATGTTTAAAGTAAAAAATCGGAATCAGCAAAGAAGAATTTATTCATAAGCACGTGTAATTTCTCTCTCCGGAAAGACTGACTTTTCGCATTTTATTATACTTTAATACTATGTATTGACCGAGCTAAAAAGTAGTCTTTTAATTTCAAATTTAATATCTATGATTAAATATTGATGTTATAAAGAGAAAAGTAATGTTTTGTTAGGTCTACAGATTTAATAAAACATTTTCTATTATATGAAATTGTGAATTATTTTAAAAGACTTTACTCAAATGAAGTCAAAATCAAGTCGAAACTTTATTGACAAATAAAAGATCAATAGGACAATTAAACTTACGACAATACTTGCAGATTTAATTCATATTTTAAAAAAATTCTGAGTTTCTTTAACTAAAAAAATAATTTAAGTAGTTATAAGGGTTGGTTTTTATGGGATACGGGAGGCCAGGAGGCCTCTTGAGTGGACTTTCTGCGGAAAACTGGCCCCTATTTACTATAAAACGCGAAGTAAACTCGGAAAACTCCATGTATTCACTCCGTTGGTCAGGCATGAATCCACTATGTGTTCAGTGATTTTATTTACTTGGCTACTGGTAGGTTCGAGCAGTGGCGCATCCAGAGGGGGGCCAAGGAACCTTGCACCTCCGAAATGAAAGAAAACACTAGTAATTTGTTTTTAAAAAAAGCTTTTTCTAATTAAAATTCAGTTTTTTTATTATACTGTGTATTTTATTTCTATATCACATACGAATTAGCGGTCACATAAGGTGGGAATTTTATCGAATTCGTATTAAAAATTTTTTCTATCCGTTCAACTCGGATCCCCAAAGATTAAATCAGTGCGCCACTGGGCTCGAGTAGTTATAAAAAATTTTTATCCCTTAATCATTGTAGTATTCTCTGTTTTTTATTTATTTATTTATACTGTATATCCTTTTTGTCAACCAGAATAATTATATTGAGCGTAAATTAAAAATTTACTCGTGTGAGAATTTCAGATTATCAAAATTTATTTAACTACATTTAATAAAAGAGACAAATATACGAAAGTAAAAGAACTTTTTAGAATTCTCAACATTAAAAAATTTGATAAATATCCGATTATGATGTCTCAGTCTGTTACAGATATAAATCATCAAAAGTGAACAATAAATTGATCGATTGCTCTAACTTATAAAATCTGTCATATGACAAATCTTATAAGTAAATCTAAATATGAAAATCTAAACTTATTTATAGAAACTGTTTTGGCATTTAACCAATTTCGGTTTTCATGAATATTTATAAGATATAAGTTACTTATAACAAAATGAGCCTATTGTTAAAAATATAACCTACTACTTTTAATACACTTTAATCTTTAATTAGTTACTTTCTTAATTAGTTAATCTTTAATTAATTATAATCTTTAGCATATCTCTATTTTAAATATTTTATGCATAATATTTGTTTAAAATTTACTTTATGTCTAATATGTTGAAAAGTACAAAATAAATTGATGCAGACAACTAAAGAAAAAAGTCTTTTATGATTTACATCAGTCATTTAAAAATTTATCAGTATAGTTTGTAGTCAAAATAGTCTATTTATAATAAATAGTTCATATTTATTATTTCATTATCTTCTATAATGTATTGAATGAGGCTTTAGTGTAGATATAAAATTTTTAAGTAGTTGACGTAGAAACAGAAAATATATAAAAATTGTCGAGAAAATAGTGATTCTTTGTATTAATCATAAATGTTAATCGTGTGAAAGTTAGTTTGATGATGTAAAAACAGAAATAAGCATTCTTCTAAATAATTAAACCTTAATTTTTGTAAAATATCTTTTGCGATAGCCGGATATCCGAGCGGTTAAGCTGTCAACCTACCGCTCTGGGGATCAGGGAAAGGAAAAAGTACAAAAAGCCATATCTGATATATTGTACAGCACATACCATAGATAAGCCACATTATTAATTGAAACCTAAGCTTAATAAATAGAAATTTTAAGAAATGAGATGCAAACGATTTCAGAGCATGTAAAGTAAAAATACAACTTTTTTACGGAGAAAAACATGCAGATGATTACAAAGTTATGATTATTAAATAGCTTTATGATGTTACAATGAATAAGGGTAACATATAATAAGTACAATCTTCCCTGACTATTCAACCTTTTGGACTATTGTAGTGTAGTTTCAACACTCAAGCACACTTCGGCACAGAGTTCTTTATTGTTATAGATTTCATAAATTTCAGAAAAAGAATTGCAAATAAGGAATGCAAAATTATAAAAGATATAAAATAATTAATAAAAAAAAACTTTGCGTAAAACAACTGTATATCTATCCTCCCTGTATTTGTTCTATTTTCATTCTATATTTCTTTCAATTATAAATAATTACATCTTACATACAAGCAAATACCTCGAATACTATAATTCCGATTAAGCACAAATTTTCTTTAATGAGCTTATCACGTAGGAACTGTTATTTATGTGTTTATTTATTGTGTATACAAACGGTTAACTTCAGATAGAAACACAGAAAAACTTTTTTACTAGTTGCTATTGGATTATTTCAATATTTTTGTGAATTGGAACATACTCTTAATATAGTTTTCTCTCTGATATTATAAATGTTATCAATCAATTGTTAATATTTGTAGAACGATCGTCCATAAATCACATAACGCTATTTTTGTACTTTTACTACTATCACCCCAGAAACGCTCCGTACATACCTATCTCCAAAATTACGTAACGAGTATCCTTGATTATTCTCTTTAACTGCACCGTACTAGGGAATAATACACACTACGGAGTTAAATAATTTTATTAATTACAGGAATAATCTACAAAGCATTAATATGAATAATACAGTTCGCTATGCAACACTTCAGAAACAAAAATAAATCATTCTGTTACCCTGTCTGTTAGCTAAAAGTCGAGACCCAACTATTACATAACGTTTTCGTAAACGTCTCCACCACTTGAAATGCATCATAATTTTTACTTGCATACCCACTCACCCATACAGTACTTGTGTTACGTAGTTTATGGATAGCCACAAAGAATTTTTATGCGATGTTTCGGAAGCCATTAGGGAAACATGAAGATCTCTGAACAATATGCGAATGTTACTTAAATTTTAATAAACTATTCATTAAACTTTGGATTAAAACGACATATACAAGACAGAATAAAATCCAGTAATTTAATTATGCCAGAAAGTTATTTAACAATAAAGAAATCGTAGTTGGTAAGGATGATCTATTTTAAGTTAAAGTAACTTACTTTATATTATTTTTGGAATAATTTAATTCCAAATACAATCTGAAAGTTTAACTTCCATTTACATATGAATAAAAATTATTTATAAATGATTAATTTAAGATTTCATGAATAAAATGTTAAATTAATTATGAACAAACATAAAAGTAGTTAAAATATGTCGAGACAGAGAGTCTCACAATGTCAGAATGATGTAAAAAAAGTAAAGTCCTTACAAAAGATTAAATTATAAACGGGAGCAAAAATATACTTCTGCCAAAACTTTGATAACGTTCGGTTATTATATCAACTTTCTTGTAGATGTGCTTATTTATACTGTTTTTCGAAATGCTATTTTTATCTTCAGAGGATTACTTAATCGTGCAAAACAACAATAATATCAAGCAACGAATTAAAAAGGAAAGATATTACAGTAAGCCCCAATTTAGGAAACTAATGGGAGAAAGTTGTGTCTGTTATTGCCGAAAGTCCGTTAAATCGAATGTATTTTAAAAACATATAGTAATAACTAACTTACAACGTACAAAATGAATTAAAACGCTGTTATAGTGTATAAGTATTAGTGATGTGCCGGATATCCGTGTCCGTATCCGCGAATATCCGAGGGGAAAAAAAAAGATCCGTATCCGTATCCGTTACTTTTTAGCGGATCTTTAACGGATATTTTATT